AAAAAAAAAAAAAAAAAAAAAAAAAAAAAAGATGACACAGGTACCTAGAGTCATAGTTTCAAAATATTCCTCCAAGCCTTTGTTCTTGCTGTTTCCTCTGCCTGGGATGCTGTTTCCAGAAAATTTGTTTGTTTTGTACTGGAGATTCAACCCAGGGGTGCTTTAACACTGTGTTACATCCCCAGCCCTTTTTTATTTTTATTTTGAGACAGGGTCTGGCTAAGTTGTTGAGGCTGCCTTGAAACTTGCAATCCTCCTGTCTCAGCCTCCCAAATTGCTGGGATTACAGGCAGGTGCCACCATGCAGGGGTACTGTTTCCAGAATTTTCTGAGGCTGATTTATTCTCATCATTAAGTTCTTTGCTCAAACCACCCAGCTTAAAGGAGCTCCCTCAACACACATTGCCATTCTCTATCCCTTTAGCTAGTTTTATTATTTTTATAGCGTTTTACAAGCTGAAATTAAATTATTTATTTCTCTCTCTGTTTACTGTTACTTCCTCTTTTTGCTAGAAAATAAGCTCTGTATGGGTAGGGATTTTGCCTACTTATTAAATTTGTATGCTTCCGAACTATTGGTTGGAATGAAATGAGTCAGGAGGTAGGGATGCGGATGAGCAAGGAAGCAGATTGTCCCAGAGAGTGTTCCGAGTGTGGCCCCATCACCCCTCCTTCATAAAATTCTGTGTGGGAACTAGAGAAAGACATACCCAGGGCAGGAGATCCACCCTTTAGTGACTATTGCATCATAGCCTATGGCATAGTGCTGCCACATAGTAGAGCCTCAATAAATAATCAGTGAACAGGGGCTGGGGATGTGGCTCAAGCGGTAGCACGCTCGCCTGGCATGCGTGCGGCCCAGGTTTGATCCTCAGCACCATATACCAACAAAGATGTTGTGTCCACCGAGAACTAAAAAATAAATATTAAAAATTCTCTCTCTCTCTCTCTCCTCTCTCACTCTCTCTTTAAAAAAAAAATCAATGAACAAATTAATATTGCCTGCATTCCAAGATAAAAGGGCCAGTGCTTATCCACAGATATGCACATATAAGTGTATATGCATTTATGGGCAAGTGCATAGGGCCCAGTCACTCAGAGACCTGCCTCACCAACATGAGCCTCTCAAGGAATTTCTTAGACAACATAGAGTCAAGGCCTGTGAAGTTGATCCCCTAGCTAATCAATACTTATCCTGTCTGGCTGGACAAGGAGGAACTAGACAAGCAGACTTGTCTTAGGTCAGCTAGTGATTAATCAAAAATGAAGGTGAATGTTTCTCTATTTTATTTGCAACAGTGAGTATTGAACCCAGAGGTACTCTACCACTGAGCTACCTCCCAGAACTTTTTTTTTTTTTTGGGGGGGAGGTCTTTCTTTTCTTTCTTTCTTTTTTTTTTTCTGTGAAATAGGGTCTCACTAAGTTGCCCAGGCTAGTCTCAAACTTGTGATCCTTCTACCTCAGCTTCCAGAACAGCTGAGATTACAGGCGTGCACCAACATGCCTACGAGAAGATGGAATTGTCAG